GGGAGGGGTGAGTACATGCAGGGTCTCTCTGTAGGGTAGGGGTGAGTACATGCAGGGTCTATTGGAAAGGGGGTGAATACATGCAGGGTCTCTTTGTAGGGAGTCGGTGTGTGGCAGAAGCATGACAGTGAACCAAATCTGGGCAGTCCTGAATGGCATTAAGATGTAAAGTTGACTTTATTAGTTTATGGAAAGCCAAGGTAGGCTTTTAAAAGTTCAGTCTTCTAGAGTTTGCGCTTTAGAAAATACTTCTCTGGCAATAACAGAGACTGGTTTAGAAGGTGACCAGACTGAAGACAGATTGCATTAGTGAGCAAGAAATTTGTGGAGGCTTCCATTATGTGGTAGCTGTGGAGATCGTGAACTTAGATTACCAGCTCTGGGAGGAGATGGCTCGGTGGAAGTTCACCAAGCAGGGGTGAGGCCCTAGCTTAAATCACAGCACCAAAGGAGAAAACAACAAAGTTGATAGTTTCAAATGAACAGATTTGGAGTCCAGTGAGGGGACAAGGGGACATCTGTGTAGCCCTTGTGATGCCTGTCTTGGGTGATTAGAAAATGGACAAACTTAGATTAAGAAACACAAAAGAGGGACGGGAGAGATGGCTCACTGGTTAAGAGCACTGGCTGCTCTTCCAGAGGACCCAGGTTCAATTCCCAGCAACCACATGGTAGCTCACAACTGTCTGTAATTGTTATTGGGGATCTGACACTGTCACACAGACATACATGCAGGCAAAACACCAATGTATCTTAAAGGAAGGGAGGGAGGGAGGGAGGGAGGGATGGAGGGAGGGAGGGAGAGAGGGAAGGAAGGAAAAAGGAAGCCAAAAGAAAGAAGGAACTTGCGCTTAGGAGAGGGTTGTTCTATTACAGCTTGGCTGAGTTCTAATTTACATACTGGCCTGGAGCTGTGGTTCAGTAGAGTGTGGCATGTGTGATGCCCTGGTCTGGATCCCCAGCATCATATAAATCAAGACAATCCTGGTCCAGCTGTGAGCTTCCTGTTGGGACTAGACTAAATTTGTAGTCATTTCCTTATTAAAAATGGAGACAAAATTTCTTATCCATTCTGAAACTGAAGAATAAGTAAGTCAGGTGATGATGCATATTCTTAATCCCAGCACTCAAAGATCAGGAGGAGTTCAACGTCGTCCTTGGCTACATAGAATTAGGTAAACTTGAGCTATATGAGAACCTGTATAAAAGAAAAGAAAACTCACATATTATACAGTATATTGACTTAACGTATGAGATTAATGTTTTTTGGTATATTTGTAGTATAGCCAACATAATAGTATGGCCAATTTTAAAATGTTTTTTTTTTTTATCACTGTAAATGCCAGCCAGGTATAGTGGTATGTGGCTGTGATTCCAGTGGAAGACTGAGACACAAGAATTATGTGAGCCCAGGAGTTTAAGGCCTTCTGGGCAAGACAGTAACTCCTTGTCTCCAAAACAGCCTCCCTGCCCCTACTTATAGCATTCAGTCCCTATTCACCCTGCCCTCAAGGGACTGCTAGGCTTTTTTCCATCTGTGTGTTTGTCCATGTGGTTATTTCCTTAGTGACAAGCTTCTTTGATGTTTCCAAGGTTCCTCCAGGTAGAGAGCACTCTTGGTAGCATGCTGTACTCTTCTCTTTATCATCGCCCTTCTGGGACAGAAGGGCCTTAAAGGCAAGGACCACGGATGCCTGTTTCAGAGCTACATCTAGCAACATTCTTGTCCTTGGTTATTGAGTTTTTGGACTCAGGGAATGTTTGATTTATCAGAATTTCATGAGATTAGCCCAGCTAACCACAAAATGAAGTTAACCAGAATGACTGCTCTGGTGGTGGTGGTGGTGGTGGTGGTGGTGGGGTCTTCTGTTCTCACCATGCTGGACTAGGAGGTGCCATGCAAGTGACAGCCAGTCCTGGTCCAGCTGTGAGCTTCCTGTTGGGACTAGACTAAGTATGTAGACATTTTCTTACTAAGAGTGGGGACAAGATTTCTTATCCATTCTGAAACTGAAGAATAAGTCAAGTGTATAGAACTTACATCGAGGTGAGGTTTTTTTTTTTTTTTCTGTATAGTTTCTGGGAAGGAGTAAATAAATCTTTGGCTCTATTAGTATTTTTAGGATAAGAATAGTTATCCTACTGTGATAAGGGTTTTGGTTTCTTCTCCAGTCTTTTGGCTTTTACTTTCAAGGTATTGAATGGACTGTGTGAGAGTAGTATGCTCCTGCAGTATGGCCGGCATGTTCTCTAGCTCCTCTGGGATATGCAAGCTATTGATTCCTTGAGAACGTTGCCTAGTGGACCTTGATTTTGTGTAGCTCCCCCCACCCCATTAATTCCCATGTTTGGATATTAAAAAAAAAAAGTCAAAAGTTTCTGAAACAGCCAGCCAGTGTAGCTTCTTGCCCTCTTGCTGCAGTCTGAGAATCATGTTTTCTATTAGAAACCATGCACTACATACACTTGAGTGCCGTGTGTCACAATAAGAGAAAACTGTCCCAAGTACCTAAAACCTCACAGCAGTTTAGTGGGAGGAGGCAGACATAGGCGCAAACAGTAACAGTGTGAAAACTCTGGCGCCCACAGCAGCACGAGTAGCTGTGGGAGCATCTGGTTGTTGGACAGTGTTTTGGAGCTAATGTCAGCTGGTGTTTCTGCACTAACAAGCGCAGCACAGAGGCAGCCCGATGCAGAGCACCTGCCATCATCGCACTGCACAACAACCTGGGGCGGTGTAGGTTCCCGCTTTAGAGAGCAATTTAAAGCTCAGAAGGGCTCGGTGGCTGGCTGTTAAACAGATTCCACATTCAGCTTGTTTGTTCCCTCCCTCTGCATCCGTGTCCCTTATGCAAGGCATAGAAAGTCTTGGAGCCGGCAGCTACAGTGCCCTGCCAGCCCTTCTCCTGTAGTTCTTCCTCCTCAGGCAAAACAAGGTTCTCAGATTTCTCTGCTCCGTCTAGCCTGCTTCCAGTGTCCTCAGCGCACCGGGTATTCCAGGGCTGTAGCAGTAGTGAATATTGCTGATGTCATTGTTTGCCTTATTGGGATTTTGCTCTTTGTCTCACAGGGAGCTGTGATTGGTATAGACGACGAGGACGACAGCACCTTCACAATCACTGTTGATCAGAAAACCTTCCACTTCCAGGGTGAGCGGAAAAGAGAGGTGCTCTCCTCAGAGTCCACCTGCTTTCCTTCTCTCGTGGGTTGCTTGCTGAATGACTTGAATGGTTTTGCAAAGGATCCTGCATGAACGAGTGCACAGGAACCTTCTGGATGAAGTGGTACTGCAGGTTAGGCAGGGATTTGTATCTGCAGTGGATGCACATTAATTTGAAGCGACTGTGGATCTGGCCGCGATTGGAGATTAAAAATTTAAAGGATAAAAATCAGTGAAAAAGCGAGAGTAATGGGCTGCTGCTGCTGCTGGCTTGTGCTTACAGAAGGTTGCTGATGTTCTTTATCGAGGAGTGTGGTTCTGCTTCTGCATGAAGAGTCTAAGGACTGATTGTGAAGGCTGCAGTGTTTGTCCGTGTGAAGCTCAAAATGTAAATTCAACTGAAGCTAGAGGCAACCTTTGCCTGAAAGGTTTTGCTCTGCTTCAAGAACTCCACGTTTGCATTCCTTCCATCTGCATTTCTGTGTCTTGTCTGCCAGCCATCATTGCTCTGCTATTATCCTTTCTGTAGTTAATAACTCCAGTGCCATCTGCCACTGCTATGTTTCGGCATTGCATGCTATGGCTCACCGGTACAAGGGGTAAGGTCCTGTATGGTCACTCTCATTTCATCCTGCTTCGAAAGCTCTAAACCAACAAATAAAAGCTGATTTTAGTGGTCTGCTCCTAAGGACCTGTCATCTGTTAGGAGTGCCTATTAGTTTTGGTACTAGTGTTCTGTTGTCTTTTCTATCCAGAATAACGTCTATTTTAGGTTTAAAGCAATCCAGGAAACTTAGAAATGAGACTATTTGGAGATGTTAGCACTTTCTCTGAACCCGTATGTGTGATCACTGTTATGATTGCCAGATAGAACAAGGTGAATGAATACCAAGTACAGTTTACAGCTTAAAAATGTTTTGTTATGAGGTCTGCTGGTGGCTGTATGTGCTATGTGAAGGTGCTTAGGTCCCTGTTGTCCTACACTAGGACAATATATTGCAGTTGTTTGTTTTCATTGTCTTGTGTAAGAGATCGACACATAGAAGTGAAAGATGCTGCCTATGAACAATAATGACAGGCCCATGTCCTCAGCAGTGGGATTTCTAATGTGTCGTCATGCTTATCCTTAACATACTGTCTTTGAGAATACTATTTGTTTAGAATTTCTTAAATAATGGTGTTCCCCTGGAAATTTCCACTCCATTAAACGTCATAAAATATTTTAATCATATTACAAAACAGCAATGCTGTTCATAAGCCAATACAGGTAGCTGGGACTCTTCACTTGAGTGTAGTTGAATACTTCACTGCAGTTCTAGTAGGAGCTGCATGCAGGATGCAGGGGCTGCAGCACAGGGTTCTGCAGTTGCTGGGGAGGCCCCTCCGGGCTCCAGAAGCTTTGTTTGCTTGGTGGAAGGACAGACTTGGATCTCTTACCTTAAACTATTTATGTCAAACTGATCTCTTTAGCGTTTTTGTATTTATGTGGCTTGCTGATAAAACAAGACATTATTTAAATGATAAAAATAAAAAGGAATTTTCAAAATGAGCTCTTAAGTTTCCAGAATGTCAGGTTGTTTGTTTTCTACTGTAGCGTTTGTGGGGTGTTACATAGCATGAACTTATTCAAAAAACTTAAACTGTTCCTTTATTTAGGTGATTAGGAAAATTACTTCAGACTTAGAGATACTTGCTTAGAAGAAGGTCTACAAATTTAATACAAAACACATTCAATGTTTGATAGAACTTACATTTTATAATATTCTGTTTTTAAACCTTCAATTGCTGATAAGAACTGAAAGCAAATCTAGGTTCATACATATTATTATGACATGTCTGAGTGTTATATTTTTCTTGTGCTGAGATAGAACCCAGGGGCTACATAATAACTTTGAGGCCTGCTTGGGCTACAGAGACCTTGTTGCCAAAAAATAAAAAAGAATGTTATTGCCATGAAAGCCTATTAGGAAGTTTTGATCAGAGAGTGACATGATGAGATTCCTATTTTACGGGGTTGCTCTGGCCACTGTCTTGAGAATAAGATGTGGAGGGGCACAGACCTAGGAAACCGTTTAGGAGCTTGTTGTAGACAAGAAATGAGAGCGTGATAGTGTTCATATGGCACCAGCGGGGTAGCAGTGAAGGAGCAAACAGTGGTCAGATTAATCAGCTTTAGTAGAGTATAATTAATATGAAATAAAATGCGTGTCTGAGGGGCTGATGAGTGGAGGACTCAGTGGGTGAAAGCTCCTGCTGCAAAAGTGTGGTGACCTCGATCCCTGGGACCCAGTTAAAGATGGCGGAGAGAACCAACTGCATAACGGGTCCTCTGATCTCCTTTCACGTGCTGTGGCATTTGTGAACTCCCTCCATCATATGTGCATGCCTGTTTCACACACACTGAAGCACATGATGATAATAATAACGGCAGTAGTAGTTATAGTAATATAAGTGAAAAATTTTCAAAAGACCTTCAGATTAAAATATTTAAAAATATATGTTTTACATGATTCAGTTTTGGTCAGCCTACTTGTATATAGCTGCCACCACAATCAACATATGGAACATTTCTGCCACTCCAAAAGATTGTTTCCTTTCTGATGCCCCCTCCTAAGCCCTGGGCCAGGCAATCACTGATCTGCCTTCTGTCAGTAGAGGTGAGCATGCCCGTTAGGGGACGTCACACAAATGGAATCATATCATGTATGTTATTGTCTTCATTTTAGCTCAAAACAGTGTTTTCTAGCCCATCCATATCATTGTATAGCTTAGTTACTTTTGTACGGGTAAATCATATTCTGTTCAATGGTGTTGTATTTATTTTGAACGTTGAGTTGTAGCACATAACAGAAAGGCAAGTTCAGGTTGATACAAGAGTATTGGGGTAAAAAAAAAAAAGGAATTGCCATTAACTGAAGTGGATGGTTCTAGGAACAACAGTTTGGAGAACTTACTGGAGATGCTGAATTCATAGTTTGTATATGGCATGCAGGGAAAATTTCAAGTTAGAAAAATAAATGTGGGGCTCATTGGCACAGAGACAGTGTTTATGACCTTGAGAATTTGGGAATAAGAATAGAAAGAAAGTAAAAAAACTGAGCTGTAGGCCCTTGAACATGTACTTTAGAGGCTTCAAGATGAGGTAGAATCAGCAAAGGAGACTGATGACCAAAGGAGACGAAAAGCAAATGGAGCCTGGAAACAGTGCTTCTAGGAGGGAGAAGGATCAGAGCTTGCCAGACACTGATGACAGACCAGGGAAGAAAGCACTAAGAAATGATGTGATGGAGTTATTCATGAGGACTTCTTAAACCTTGAGAAGAGCAGCTATAAATCAGGACAGAGTGCTTCAAAGTCTACTGAACAGATCAGAAGCAGAAGAGGGGATTGCAGGCCTCAGGAGTTTGGGGAGATTTTAATTGTGTGTAAGGACAAATGGAACAGTGATGGTGTGTTTCTATGTTGTCAGCAGTGATTCCACGGAGAGGAAGAGCTGATAATGCTAGAGGAGGGGCAAGGGGTGAGGATGTGGTGTGTGTGTGTGTGTGTGTGTGTGTGTGTGTTGGGGGCTAGTTGGATCAGCCTTCTGAGAAGGCAAGAGCCAGTGGGACCTGAACCAATGGGACCTACAGCACAGCTGCAGGCATTGCTTTTGGCTAGGAGAATGGACAGTTATCTTGGTGAAATAGCTGTGGCTGGTGATGGACCCTGAGCAGACCGAAGTACTGGCAATAGGGAAAGCAAAGAGGAACAGATTGGACATGTGTAGTGAGTAAATCAGTGGGAATTGGTGACTGGTTGGAGGAGAATTTAATAGCAATGTTCTTTTGTTTGGTTTATAGTTGAACATTGTCACATCTAAAACAGCCCAGAACAGGAATTTACTTTGGAGACACAGAGATGGTGGGAAGTGAGGCTGAGCTTAAGTGAAAATGAAGAGAGAGCACTCTGTTGTTTAGTTGAACTAGAAGCCTAAAGTCTGAATGACCAGGTAGGATTAAAGCTAGACAAAGACTAGCAGTTTCAAGTCTGTATGGCTGATGATCAGAGTTCAACTCCTGGAATCTGCATGATGGAAGGAGAGAACAGACTCCCAAAGGTTGCCCTCTGACCTCTGCATCTGTGCTGTGGCACACATATGCACGTGCACACAGATACATCATATACATTCAACATGAAATAAGATGTAAGGATAATAATAAAGACCACCAGTGTGGAAAGGGGAAACTGCTGTCCTCAGCCCAGATGGTTAAAGCTTTTGGGAAGGCTTGCTGAACATGGCCACATTTTCCACTTCTTTCCAAGAGAAGTCAGATTTAGTTTTTCTTAACTCAGTGGGAAATGGGTGTGTAAAATTTCCAAGTTTTAAAACTCTTTTTTTTTTTTTTAAGTTTTGGCTAAACAGTGTACCTTTGTGAGCTAAATAAAGCCTTTGGATTTTCAATCTTTGGTTAAAACCATGGCAGTAATATCTATTGTCTGTCTAGAAGATCTCCGCAAGCAAAGAACTGATGGTCAAACATTCAATCAGACTAGGATGGACTGTCATCAGGCTGGGAGGAGCAATCACAGCAGTTAGGACGGAGATGCAATTGTGTCTGTGTCTATGAGCATGTATGTGCATGTGCGTGTGTGCTCGCTTATGTGTGGAGGTCAGAGGTGCCTTCTACCTTACTTTTTTGAGGCAGGGTCCCTCACTTGGTGCTCACACATTGGCTAGTCTGGTGGCCAGGCTAGCAAGCCCAGGAGAACTGCCTGTCTCAGCTTCAGTAGTGCTGGGGCTGGTCTTTATGCTTTCATGCTTGTACAGCAAGCACTTACCTGATTGAGGCATCTTTCCAGCCCAGAAACTAATCATCTGAAGTTACTATTTTTATAGATCAAAAGTAGTTTCATATCAGCATTTCATATGGCTCATACTAATAGAAGACAAGATGGTTTATTGCTCACCTTAATGATTAGGAAAAGTCCAGTTGTTTGAATTTACAT